CTCTGGACCCAGGGCTCTGGTCTTTGGCATTGCATTCTGGGAAAAAGCTGTACATGAATTGTACAGAGTAGGTATAATGACAGCTAGATGGTGAACTGTGCAATTGCAGAATATCCTACGTTTTAGAGGGTTTGGGATCAGCCTCTCCAGAGCTCAGTCTGGGATCACATATGGTAATGTTCACTGCCTCAGAAATACTTCTGGTCATTCTTCAAGGTTTAGTAGTGACTGATTTTATTGTGTTTGGGTGTTACTATACACACACACACACACACACACACACAGACACACACACACACACACACACACACACACACACACAGTAAAATCATGCTCCTAGGGAGGCTGTGGATGTGTAGCTCCAGTGCCAGCAACTATAGAAAAAATACAACATAAGGAAAGGTTGCATCAGTGCATTTCAAAATAGTCATTTCAGGTATCAGTTCTTCCTTTACTCCTTTGTTGGGAGTAAATGCATAGCTTCCTCTGAGACTGAAGTCTCAGGGAGGGCTGTATTGTGAGAAATGGGAAGTGGAGGCTGGATGCTATAGTCGCCAGCAAGAATCCTAGCTTGTGTTTATTATGCTCCACAGTTTTAAAGCACTTACAATACACTGGATTGCTTTTGCGTTTACTATAAAGGTAATAAAGTTCAACGAACTTTTAAAACAATGTAAAACTATCTCTTACATGAAATTTATGTGTGATGGGATTGAGGAATAGCTAAAATAGTAACTGATTTTAAAAGTATAGAAACTAATTCATCAGTTGAACCCCAATTGGCCAGAAAATTAGATAATTAAGATTAGTATTCGTCTTTGTTTATAAACTTTTCTGTGTTTGTCAGTTCTGTATGTTTAAAAATAAAGCATGATGTTTAGTGGAAAGATTTTGTGTCTTGGATTATATCATCAGTTTGAACAATTTTCATTGCACAGTTACAGATATAGAAGTTTAAGATAGTTTACAAACTGTTTATATGTTATATTATTTTGCAGTCTTGTAATTTGGCCTCCTGCTATTTTCCAGTTTATGGAATATTTATACTTGAGATTCTCTGACAAATATATTTTAAAGACTATTAATACAAGTAGTTTCTATTTTTTACTTTATCTCTCTCTCTCCTTCCTTCTCTTTCCCCTCCCTTAATCCTTTCTTTTTTTCCTTCATTTTATTCTATTTAGTGTTTAATAGGTCAGCCTCTACATTAATTCAGTGTAAGACAGGCAGAGCAGGTGTGTGACAACAGAAACCTTCTTAGTAAATGTCTAAAAGTAGCTGGCAGTGGGAGAGACATCCCTCGAAGGAAGGTGTCTTGGCAGTCCTGGCAGGGAACGTGGGTTGTATGTGCACTGCATTGCTGAGTAGGGCTTCGCGAAGACATGGCAGGGCTGACACACACTGTTTGCACAGTGGAAGATAACTGAACGGAGGGCTCTATGGTCACGCAGGCTGCAGAAATCCAGGATGTCCCAGAGTCAGACCCAGTGTTCCCCTTCAGTGTTAACTTTGTTCTTTCTCTGAACCCATCATTCTTTTCTCCATTTCATTCTTCTTGCTTGGAACACACTCTCATTCCCCGTGCAGTGCTTCACCAACCAGTCCTAGGCTCCTAGTAGTGCACACGCACGCACGCACACACACACACACACACACACAAACACACACGCGCACACGGTCACAGTTTGACCTCAGGTTTGCTGTTAAGTCCTATTCTGGGTTGAGTCATCCAAGATGTGGCTTCTTGGGCTTTTTCATAAGGTACTAGTTCAGATCACAGAAAAGCATTTTAATATGCCACATCATAAATGATCTTGGAACTAAAAATAAATAGAATTTTAAGGCGTATGATGAAAGGGAGAAAAAAATTGGACATAGGGTTAGACAGAGCAGAATTTTCCTTGCAGCCTCACTGGTTGCTGGTGGTGTGGCTTTGGGCATTTTTCTGTCCTTCACTTTCTTCACTGGTAAAGATATCAGTAACCCCCTCAAAGGGCTTTTGGCATAATTATGTAATATAATTTAGTCAAAGAGCAGTTGTCTAACACAAAGGAGGTTCAGTCATTTGTTTTCATCTTTTAAAATGACTATAACCTACTAATGAGATGAAGGGTTATTGCTTAAAATGGGAAAATTCTCAATTTATCAGTTAATTACCAGCAGTTTTATTTAATCTCCTTCTTGAAATGGGGCACAAACTCCATATAAACTCTTTTTGCACTCTAAGTTGCACCCTGAAACACAGCAGCCTTGAAAAGTAGGCTTTCTTTTCTAATTGCTTGGAAATAGTAGCAGTTGTCTTAAAGATCTAGTCAGTTCCTTTGCTGTTAAAATAAATCCAGGGTAAAGGAAAAGTACTGTGTTTATGCCAACTTATAAAATGTACATCCTCTTAAGAATAAGTAATCCCCTAATTTTGAGCAGATCCAAGACATACTGTAAATTGGTGTTTGCCTGTAGTCACTGTTACTCTTTTCATTGAAATCATTACACGTATACTTTTATGGATGCTATTACCTATCATTAATCAAGAAATAAAATTGACTTACGAGGTGGACTTAGCCATGACTTTTTATGGATACCTGTTTGTCGGCAGGAGTTATCGTATAGGTGTAACTGTGTAGTTATCATCATTACAGCCTTCTGAGAGGTGTTGCCACCTCCATTCACAGATGAGGAATGGAAGCTCTGAGACAACACAACCTGCCCAGGGTCACACGGGTTACAGCCAGTCGGCGGCAGAGCTGGAGGAGTGACGCGGGCTGTGTGCATCCACCTACTAAAGCACACCCTACTTTCCTTACCATCTCCCCTGGAAAGGATCAGTCTGTCTTAGCATTAGCTTTAATTTTTATATAAACTTTTTCTCCCCTATGTTGTACATTGTGGTATTTTAATACCCACTAATGTGAACCACTTTTAATTCAATAGCATCAGAGCAGCAGCATTAAATCTGCCTATGCATTTCCACTTTTGAGAAACCAGGGTTAATACAACTTCCTAAGGACACTGTGTATACTAAGGACTCTTTAAGGGGCATCGCCCTGGCCTATAGAAAGTGCCAGAAGTTTCCTTGCTTGAGACCAGAGAGAACTTCTCCAGTCCCCTGCTTTCTTATTGGACATGAGAAATGGGACCACAGCAGAGCAGGTAAGCAGCTCATCAGTGGTTATACACTTGGACTGAGCCCAAATCTGACGGTGGAACAGAAGCGTCTCCTACTACAAAGTGGAATTGGGAGCTCTGGGCTCCCTACACTGACAGGTTTACACTGTCTACTCCCTCAGTTCTGCCTTACGTGGAGAACCTACCCATCGCTGTTACCAGACATTGCCTTCTGTGACTAGGCGGGAACTACACCAGAAGTCGATGATGAGTTTTTGCCAAAGATGCTAGTTCGAATATTCTGTGATCCCATGTGCTTACTTAACACTATTACAAATGGATTGGGAATTACAGTTAAACTCGACATTATTTTTTACTTCATTTATATTTTACCCAATGTATGAATTAATCCTCATTAATGTTAGTTTTTATACTTTTATTTTTGAACTGTATGTGTGTACAAACACTAGGGATTGAACCCAGGTCCACCATGCTGTTGTATGTTCCTGGCCTTTTTGTTTGTCTTTTGTTTAGAGACAGGGTTTCACTAAGGCACTCAGTTACCCAGGCAGGGCTCAGACTTGTAAATCTCCTGCCTCAGCCTCCTGGAATGCTGAGATTATAGATGTACGTCACTGCACCTGACATCCTTTGTACTTTAACAATTTTAACTTTGTATTTTTTTGCCTGGTCTCGGGAATAAAACTCAGGACCTTGTGCTTGCCAGGCAGGTATGGCACCACTGAGCTATATCCCAGCCCCTTATACTTTGTATTTAAGTTTTGTGCATCAAGGATTTAGATCCACTGCCATGGTCAAGAGGATCACGTGGGAAAGCATAAGAATCATTTCTGTGTCCTGGTTCATACAACCCTTCTCCAGTACTGCGAGTGCAGGTATAGACCTTCCTTGTGTTTGTTGAAAGAATGGAGACAAATATAGAAAGATGTGCAAAATAGCTTGGCTACCTACACTCATCTGGACAACACTTGAGGACAAGGGTGGTGCCTGAAGCGCCCACGGTTCTGAACGCGGGGACACACGTCACCTAGCATCATCCTGTGGGATGAAGTGTGCTTCTCCTTGAATCATTTGACACCTTGTGCAGAAAGCTAGTTAGTTGAAAAACTTCTGTACTGCAGACAAGGAAAGAAGTTCCAGAGTAAAAAACAGGAATATCATCTTACATTTTTATATCTTTGAAAAGGAAAAAAGGAGAAAATCAGTTAAGCCAAGCAGTCCACATGGGCAGTACAGCTGGTGGAGAAGGTGCACAGACAGACAAACAGTAGGTCTATTCATTGCAAATTCTTCAGAAAGCAGTGGTCTCGAGAGGGCTAGGACACGAGCAGCTATGCCTTCTTCCGCGACAGCAGGAATGCTTTGGGGTGAGTCATGAGATTCTGTGCTGGGTACCGAGCTGCATCCTCCCGTTCGGGGCTGGCTGGGTCCTCTGTGAAACCATTGAGAGGCTTCAGCTAGGGTACTTCCATCCCCCAAAGAATCCACAGACTGAGGAAATGTGGAGAAGAAAAGACTCAATGTTGACATTGCAGGAGGAAAGAACATGGGAGAAAAAGACATCCTTTTCTAGGCAATAGGGGGAGCAGCAAAATCTTTTAGGGAGGCCACGAGTCTGTAACTAGGATTTTTGTTGATTAAAATAAGAAAAAGGTTGAATATGTTTCTCTTAGTAACCCAGCAATAAGTCTCTGTTGGCTCAGATAAAGGTGGGTTCAAAGGCAAAAACACTAAGAAATGCTATAGGTTCAGAATTATATAGGACAAACACTCTGATTTAGCAAACTTCTCTTTTCTAATTCTTGAGTCCCTAAAAACCCTCAAGAAATCCCCCAATAAAACAAACAATACAACGAAGTGAACCAAACTTTAAAAACTATTAACAAATATATTTATTTTGGTGGCTCTCTCCCCTACTAGACACACCTTGTTAGAAAGTAGTATTCCTTTTAGTTCCAGGTGGACCAGTAAGCAGGTAATAAAACTGTTTTTCCCTCACGGAGAGAGAAAGGAGACACATGACTTGCAAACACGGTATATTCTCCTTGCACTATTTTTTTGTTTTCTATTAAATCAGAATTTCTTTCTAATAAGTATGATTCTGTTTTTAGAATAAAGTTACAGGCACATGTTTACAGACTTAGGTAGTCCCAAGGGCAGCAGGGGCTGATCCAACTGCTGCGATAGGTTGGAGAATTCTCCCAAGGGTCACGACCCTTCAGTTTTGTGGAGCACAGAAGGAATCTCCAACTCTGACTCGTCCACCTTTTGCCTTCCTCCAATCCCACACAGAATACTGAACTCTGATCTACACACTCTTGTGTTGCTTGCAGAAGCACAGGATGAGAGCGACAGAGTCATCTTAACACTTCGAGGATGAAGTTGCTTCTGCGATGATAGATCCTATGATTCCAAATGCCAGGCCCTAACTGTGAGCTCTCTGGATCCCCCCCGACAAAAATCACACTGTGCTTGGAGTGGTGTTCCTCTCCCGGGTCTCTCATTTGTTGGAAGGGATACTGCCTCTTTGGATTTGCAGCATTATCTTTCACTTCTTAAAACAATAGCTGAGAAAATAGGTTTTTAATAGGGAAAAGATGTTTCTTCTCCAGAGGTCATCATTATGCTGATGAGAGCTTATAGCTTATTGATAGTTATGTACAAAATTTCTTGTCTTCTAAAAATGCACAGAAGCACGTAAGATAACCGTGTGAAAGTAACCCTTCTTTGAACTTTTGGCTCTTTGTTGTTAGCTATGCCTGCATGAAGAATATACAACTATTTGGAACACTGCCCGGGCAGAGGAGTAACTGCTATGTCGCCCGACTGTGGTCCTAACGGCTACGGCACCTCTCCTGGGCGTCCGGTTGGAACAGCAGCGTCCAGGTCTGCACTGCTCTCATGGGACCCTTTAGTGCACAGTGCTGACCGACACGGATTTCTGTTGTTTATCTTGGACTTTTCGCTTCTTCTGCTGCTGTTTCTCTTTGTTTTCTCGTTCTTTGTTTTCTGGGCTGTCTCTGGTGGATTCCAGACCTTTGTTGTCAGGAACCGCTTCTTTGCTTTCTTCTTTATTCAGTTTTTTTCTTTTCCTCTCTCTTCCTTTTTTTCCTAAAACAAAAGGACACTCCTTTAAATATCATATTGAATTTTGCTCTATTTGGTTACTGTACATTTTTAGAGATGTGTTGACTTTAGATTGCATATGGCACACGTAGATCCCGCGTGTAGATTTGAGTGCTTTTTGTTAGGTCTGTGTGATATGCCCAATAATGCAAACATGAAATGATACACAGTGTAAAGAAGCAACTAAAGTATGGTAGTACGAGTCCCGTGAATTCTCTTCCTGTGAGCTTGGGGTTCGTTTCACATACTCGCTTATTATACTCAATAGAAAGTTTTGAATAGATTTCTTGCTGTGCAAAAAAATTATAAATATGTGTTTTATCTGGCTCCTATTTAAGGAACCATTTTTATTAAAATTTTTCAAAGTACCAATTACATATTTGCAATCTGTTGAGTTATTTGCATGCCTTGGAGAACTTGCTCACATAACAAACACTGAAATAATAGTTCATGATAAAAACCAGGATAGCCGTGCTTTCACCCAAATATTAATGTTTTGAAACTAATTTACATTTGTTTCTTTGTACAGATTGGTGTTGAATAGAACTTATCAATAATCTTATGGCATGAGCTATGAGGGTAAAGACTTTTTGTTTCTATCGATAAAATTGATATTGATTGAATGTATACCAGATTCCGTGGAGGCTCCTTCCACTGAACTGGGTTGGAAGCATAGATTTAGTCCAGACTCATACTCACGTTTTATAAGGTGGAATCAAAAAGAGGCATAAAGGTTTTGATGTGGAAGGGAATGTCACCGCCACATGGTGTCACAGTGAGGAAATGAATTTTATTCTTTTGGCCACAGAGGACACTGAGGGAAAGACTACTTGAATCAAAGAACAGGAGCCTGACACTAAATTGGAAATATTGTTTTTTCTTTAAGTAGATATTTTATGTTAAACATTTATATATGTAATTGATGGTGGAAAGCAACTTTTGTTTTGTTTTTGTTTTTGTGGTATGAGGGATCGAACTCAGACCCTTGCACTTGCAAGGCAGGCTGTGAAACCACTGAACCAAATCATTGGCTCAGAAAGCAACTTTTGAAGGCATGATTTTAATAACATTCATGAACATCTACATCTCTGAGAAATTATTTATACTCAAATCAACATTTTAATGAATGAAACTGAGGAAACAACTATTCTTCAACATGGGGCAAATTCTAAGTATTTATTCCCATATACTGAGTCCTGTAAAATCTGAAATTTGTCTGTAATAAGTGATTTTGGACAAGAGTATTTTGGAAAAATGATTTGCTTCAGAGAACCAAAATATTTTCATGTCCTGAAACAAGTTGCAACTATTGAATTCAGTGGTTTGGCTCATTTTCTTCTGCAGCTCTGGTTACAGAATCCTAGGGAGCAGAATTATTAATATGGCAAAGGGATACTAGGCCAAGGCAGTCTCCTTGGATTAAAGATTTTATGCCACAACTGACTTTGTCCTGAGACTATATTTACAAAACTTTCCAACTACTTTAAAAACTTGACTTGTTGAGCTCAACATAACACTTTACTCAGTTTGGAACTCTAAAAGGACACTGAATAAAAATGAGAATTCAGACCAGATTGAAGCAAATATCAAATTCTTTGGGATGCATAGAGACCAACAACTATTTCGGAGGTGAACCACTCATCCACTGATTTGCCATTTCCGTTATCCTGTTCATTTTACAGAATACTAGTTTTAATTTTTGACGAATCGCCAACTGATTTCCATCATGGTTGTTACTACTTTACATTCTCACCAACAATGCAGCGATCGCCCCCACCCCAGCCTTGCCAGCATTTGTGAGTATTTGATTTCTTGATGGTGGCCATTCTTTCTGGAATAAGATGGAATCTCAGAGTTTTTTTTGTTTTGTTTTGTTTTTGTACCGGGTATCAAACCTAGGGACCTTGCGCTTATGAGGTTGGTGGTGGAACTGAGCTAAATCCACAGCCCTCTCAGAGTTGTTTTAAGTGCACTTCTCTGATGGTCTGTGATGTTGAATAGTTTCTCACTGGCCATTTGTACATCTTTCTTCTGAGAAGTACCTCTTCGTTTCTCATGCTCATTTTTTGATTGGATAATATTCTGCTATAAAGGAGAGTAAACTTGAGAAACCTAAATTTTAAATAAAAAAGCAAGATACAAGATAATAGGAAGTAAGGAGATAGATCTTTTTCAAATAGGAAGGGAATGAAGAGATGGGAGAGGTGGAGAGAGGGGTGGGAGAGGGATTTAAACAGAATTGAGATGCGTTGTGTCCAGGTACCACCTCCCAACAACCAAGGCAAATGTCCTAATTCTAAATTAAAACCGAAAAACAAAGTTACTACTGTGTTGGTAAGATTTCTAAAGATGGAAGTCCATGGCCTTTTTTTCATGCTGGAGAAGAGTTAATTTGAGTGTAGTAAATAAACAAAGAAAATTGAAGACTAGATTTACCTTCCTGAATATGTAGCATAATTTAAACCGTATAAAGTGGCACAAACTGAAAGAGGGAAATGCTGGTTTTTGTGGGCTGTATTTGGTTTTCTGAAAGAGATAGTCACAGAGATTGGATTACATAATATTTCCATTTGAGGAACAGTTTTGGAGGTGTTCAAGTTCAACTCTTAAAAAATTGTCAGCGAAAATCATTCCAAAGTTGCATAAAAATTACTGACCCCAAACAAAATGTTATTTTTATGGAAATCATCCAGAAGTTCAGTGTTTGACATTGTTCTCTTGATGATAGTCCAACATCATACAGCTGCGATCCCAGCCATCATGTTTTAGAAACACAAGAAATATATCCTTTCTTCCTTGGTCACAGATTGATTTATATGTTTGTCAGCCACCTGTGACAGCATATTCAGCTTGTCGAGCATTTCTGCTTATTAACAAACTGATATTATTTCTTAAGATGGGCAGAAACGATTCTGGAAGTATCTTTGAAGTCAGTATTACAGCATTATTATCCAAGGAGTGAGTGTTTCGTCTGAGTGGTGAGCGAATGTGGAGGCTCTGGTAAAGTAACAGGGAGCCAGCGTGTTGTACATCACTGCTGCCTGAGAGAGGACTCTTGCACAACAGAAAAATGGGATTATTATTTGTTTACAGGCCATGTGTTAGTGGTTGGCAATGCTAGCTACCCTCCTGCATAAATAATGTATTTTCCTCTTGTCAAAGAAATAAAATAGAAATGGAGAAGTGGCTGTGACCCGTTAAAACTCACATGCCATCTGGGATAATTTTATAAGGTTTTCATTTAAAGCGGGACTCCTCTTTCTATCCTGGTGACTTGATGATTTTGCCCTGATGTGGTTAATAGTATTTCTGTGCTTTTATTTTTTTCCATTTTGCAAACTAAGCACTCCAGTTAGGACAGCCTGACGTATATGTGCGTTCTGTGCCACTCACAGAATGTGTGCGTGGGTGTGGGCGTGCGGCACATGGGCACACGTGCCTGAACTGGGCTGTGGAGCATTCTGACAATTACAAAAGAATGTTGTAGTGTCCTCTCTCGATGTTTCAGATGTGAGGGTGATGTTAGAGTAGAAACCAAAGAAAAATTATTATTAGCAATCAAGTATAACCCGAAGTTGCTATGATGTGAATGTCTTCTCTCTAAAATTTGTATTAAAATTTAATCACCACCATATTAAAAGGAGGGGCTTTTAAAAGGTGATTCGATCAAGAGGATGCTGCCCTCAAGGACAGATTGATGCTATTTTCATGGGACTGCGTTACTGCAAGTGTGTGTCCTCACGACAAGGTTGTTTGTTCCAAGTCCCTCTGTGTTTCAGGCAGCTTGCCTGCCCTTCCACCAGCAATGCTGCAGCGAGAAACCCCTCCAGATGTTGGTGCCATGCTCTAGACCCCCCCAGAGCCACGAGCCAAGGAAACTTCTCTTGTTTACAATTTCCCCGGTCTGTGGTATCTGTTAGTTTCTGTAGTGGAAAATGGCTTAGGCCATCCTTGTAGGGAAGCGCTGTGGTATAACATTTATGAGCACTGTCTTTAGGGGCAGAAAAATGCTCGAGTATTCACATTCTACATCTGCCACCAAATAGTTATGTGACTTCTGACAAGCTTCTGATATTTCCCAGGATTGACTGTCTGATACTTCAAACCTGAATACTCATTGCTACTTGCTAGACTTTAAAAGGATCGTGTGAATTGTGCCAACTCAACACAGTAAATTGGGATAACTTTTTCCAAAGTTGACAGCACCGTTAAAGTTTCCCAAATATATATATATATGTATATATATATTTATATTTATATAAAAATACTAATAATAGCAGTATGTTATGCATCCATAACAGCAACAGCTTTTCCAGGTCCTGCAGTCATATGAACAAAATTATAGACATTCAGCACATTCCATTAAAAAAAAAAAGAATAATATCCAGAAAATAGCAAATTTCTGTTGCTGTTGTGGTACCTGGCACCATTTTTTTTTATTAGCATCTTAATCATCATCTGGAAAAAGAACATTCTAGAGTAATATCATTAAATATAGCTCTGATAAAGCACAGTCACTACTATGTATCATAAAGCAGGTACAAGATATTTACATTTACAGAGGTATGATACAGTACTGTCCTACATCAATAATATTAGAATCAGTTTTGGTTTGAAATTTGCTTTGTCTGCAAATAAGATTCCTCCCGTTTTTTTCTAGGCTCCTGTCACATGGAGAATTGTTTTCTATCGTTTCAGTTTCAGTCTATGGGCTTCTTTTTGCACTAGGTGTGTTTCTTGTATACAACATATTGTTGGATTTTGCTTCTTATTCCATTTTGCCAGTCTATTTATCTTGATTGTACAGAAATGGACAGCCATATTGGTCTAGAAATGTAAATTTTTTTAATTTTTATTTTTCCATTTGTACAGGGGAAACACATTGTATTAAATATGTAAGGTCCTATCTACGTGGGTTTTATTACAGAAACTAATAAAGTATTCTCTAAATAATGAAAAAAAGAATAAGACTACAAGAGCAAGAA